TTGAATTTAAGTGTATTACTCATTCGTTTTTTCTTCAATTTTAATGTCTTCCTTTCCGGCTTACATAGACAGCAATTTACTTCTCAAACAACATTTCATCTTCCTACCATTCAGTAACAAGCACACGATATATGAATCGTCCTTATACATTACACTTGAACAATGAGGAAAATGAACGTAACCGTCGATCACATATCGTTTTAAAGATAAATTTAATCAAAGAGATATGTGTACAGACGAAGAACATGTCCTATCCTGATACACGTACGATATGTTTTCTTTAACACTTCAACTATATCGTGATTGACACATGCATAGGTTAATAAAAACAGTTCTCTGTGTTGTCAGAATAGTCATGTAGTGATCATCGAAATGGTAAAAATAATCAGAAAATTCCGTATCGTAATAATACCTATTTCAATTAGTAATCTGTTTGTACGTCATTGATCTAAATTTTATCTGAAGATTTGGAACAATATTCATTCTAACGATAAACAGATGATGTCCATATTTCAAGTGTACTTATGAGCATCCAGAAACAATTGATAGTTTGAGATTGTGAAAAAAATAGAATTTAACACCCATAGTTCGCATGCATATTCTTTTCGAAAAACTTGTATGATTGTTTCTATTAATATTTATGAAACTCCTATATTTTAAATGTTAACTTGAATACTATGTGTATTTAATCTATTACATAGATAAACTTTGTTTTCTTTTGGTTTGATTGAAATTTCTTTCATTGTTTGTAGTATTTTAGAAAAAATGACGTGATTTAATCCATCATATATAAGATGATGTTAAATAAAAATTACTAATGCTAAAAACTGATTTTTGGAACAAGAACGATTTTTGTCGGGGCTAAATTGTCTTTTTTTATTTTGTGGAATTTATCGATAGATATATACGGCGAACATAGTAATAGAAAGAGTTGTTTAAAAATTTCAAAAGCAAGATCCGATTATAGACGCAAAGAAAATTTTCTGTTTTTTTGAAATACCATTTTCAAAAAGAATCATTATTGATGTTGATGTAAAGCTGTATCTGCTATCATCATGAGTATATTAAAAAAAAAGAAAATGGTTATTTAAATCTATATTCAATTCTATAAAAGCTATTCACATATTTGAACTTGCTCCAACTATCTTCACCATAGTCGAAACAAAACTAAGTCATGATGAATTTATTCGTTGTATTAGTGCTTTCACTGATAGAAATTCTTTTTTTGTCTTTCGTGCTTTTACAATGTCATGATTCGATGAAATTCTTTTTCCAGATTAGATTCTAAAAACAGAACTCCACAACATAAAAAGAAAGAAAAAAAATTGAAAAAAAATGTCATCAAAACAACAAAACAATGTGCTGATTGAAGAAAAAACAAAAGCATACATTCTTTTTTTCTTTCGTTTGTCACCTATTTTTCAAGGATATTTTATATTCTTGACATACGAATTTTTTTTTATCAGAGACGTAAACAAAACCAAACAAAACCTCAAAGAACATAAGGTTTAAGTTTTGTCAGATACGTTTCTAGATACTGTATAGAAATCGTCATAGAAAATCAATGTCATTATTTCATTTTAGGTTTATCTGACTGAAGCACATACAAAATAAAAATTTAATATTTAATCCAGAAGATAATATGATATTATTTCTTTGTTGAAGTTAAGTAAAAAGTTGGAATTTATTCAACGAAAAGAAAATCATTTTATCAATTTCCTGTTGTTTACTTGGAAAAAAATAGTTATATTACTATCATTGTTGAAGAATCTAATTTTTCAGTGTAATCTCAATACCTTGACAACAGCAATAGCCAGTTGCTTGTGTCTTTCACAACCATTGAACAAAGAGAACTCTATTAGGAGTCTTTTCATCTGATAGTATTAAAGAGACAATTATTTTAAAATCTATACTCCTTGTAAAAAGTTCAAAAACATAGATGAAAATGTTATTTATTTTCAAGTTAATTTTGATGAAGAGAAAATTGTGAGAAATTAATCATCTGAACCGTACCTAGAACTGTGAAACTGAAGCAGATGTGAAAAATTGAATTTACATCAAAGTAGAACATCTTTAGGTTTTTTTTTGAAATGTTTTACGAAAACGATTTGTTTTAGAAATCATCTTACAGTACAAAGTGTCAGATGAGTTATTGAAAATACAGAAATGTCTCCTTTTTCTTAGCCAGAAGTTAGCTATTAGGTTTAACTCGAAAACTTAAACGATATCGTTGATTAAGGTCATCAGAAGTCAAGGATGAATTTTACAGGGTGTGAGTGTGATAGAGAATAAAATTATGTTTAATTCTTAACCTTCAAATTTTATAGACAAACAATGGTTTTTAATGTTTTATTTTATAAAAATCCATCAAAACACAAACAAAGTGTTGGCCAAGTTGTTAAACCTAAATGAAAAACGTATCGAGTAAAATACGTTAAAGTTGAAGTATCACATCGATTAACATTGATATTAACATCATCCCAAGATAATATTTAAAGATAAAATGAAAGCTTTTTCATAAATTACCTATATGATCATTTAATTTTTTATAATTTTTTTAATATTTTAGAACTGAAATTAAGATCTTATTGTGAATATAATAAATAACTATTAAAAATTAAAATTGATCAAAATAATATTCGTAATCTTCAATTGTAACCTTCAAAAAAAAATATGTTAATCTTAATCGAAATAAGATGTGAAAAAATGATTTCATAATCCTAAATAGAAGTAGCAATAACATCGAATTATTAATCATTTTCAATAAAAAAAATATTTTGATCATAAGTTTGTTGATGTTAAAGAGCAAATTTCTTTTCAAATAGATATTCAATTATTCACATAAAATCTCTATGAAATTTGTTAATTAGATTTTTCTTATCTAATAAAGGTTTTTTTAAAGTTTAAATAATTTAAGAATTGTTTCATGAATAGATAAAGAAAGATATTTATTCTTTTTATTTTCTTACGAGGTATTAATATTAATGCACATTTAAAAAAACAGCAAGCCTGATAAGTATCTTCCGAAAGACTCAAGTTGTTTTTGACCATCAATGTTAACATAACCTTTCCTTTTTTTCTATTCTTTATCTCTATTCCAAGATATGCAATGCATGAGTTATTACTCAAATTGACGGCGAATGTATTGTTTTTATCCACCGTTTCATTCAATCATCGTTCGTTTTGCTACAATGGCGAGTGCACGACATGCAAGTTATCCTTACACATTCGAGATGAAAACACAGACGAATTGAACATGAAATGTTTAAAGACGACAAAGATATCGTGCACTCAATATTCCATTGCTTGACAAACACCGGTCGTTGTCATGCGCTGCGTATTATCATTCCGTTACGTCGACGTCGTCTTTTATCGCGTCTTTCCGTTTTCATATCTTATCTTTCTTCCATTTCCACTTCTTCTTGTTCTTCCTACCAGAAGAATAAAAATAATTTTCTAACTAATGGAGCTTTTGAGGGTGGCTCTAAAACAATTGAACCTTCCCAGGGATATCCGACGTTCTATTGGTGACCCGTGCAGGCGTGCAGATGGTAGGCCTTCATAGCATACATCAATGTATGTATGAGTAGAAGCGTCCATTTCGTCATCATCTTTTCGAAGATGATGATCATGGTCGTACTATTCATACGTACATCGATGTATGTTTGCCTAACCATTGCCGGCTTTGTCCACTGTACGAGCCAGCAGAATACGGAGGGTATCTCTGGTCGCGCGTGCGCGAAATTTTGCAGCTGCTTGCTTCGGCGAGCTTAGATTTCAAGATGGCCAGTTTATTTTCTCTTTAAAAACGAAAAAAAAACAATTACATTTTCTTTTTTACATTTTCAATGTTTCCTTTTACATGTGAAATATACCAATGATTTGAAGGGAGAGCCTTTTCCCAAATACCACGTGCTTTCTCAAAGTATGATAATGCTTTCGAATAGTCTCGCATTTTATCGTACACCAAACCAATACCGTTGTAGGAAGTAGCCAAGTCGGGATGATTCGGAGGGAGAGCTATTTTCTTGATTTCAAGTGATCGTTCATACGATGAAAGTGCTTTTGAGTACTCGCCCATGTTTTTATACACCAACCCGATACCTTCGTAGGAAGAAGCCAAGTCGGGATGATTCGGAGGGAGAGCTATTTTCTGGATTTCAAGTGATCGTTCATACGATGAAAGTGCTTTCGAGTACTCGCCCATGTTATTATACACGGAACCGATGTTGAGGTAGGAAGCAGCCAAGTCGGGATGATTCGGAGGGAGAGCTATTTTCTGGATTTCAAGTGATCGTTCATACGATGAAAGTGCTTTTGAGTACTCGCCCATGTTATCATACACCGCACCGATGTTGTTGTAGTCAGAAGCCAAGTCGGGATGATTTGGTGGAAGAGCTCTCTGGTCGATATCAAGTGCCTTTTCGTAATGTGAAAGTGCTTTTGAGTACTCGCCCATGTTATGATACACCATACCGATATTGTTGTAGGAAGCAGCCAAGTCGGGATGATTCGGAGGGAGAGCTATTTTACGGATTTCAAGTGATCGTTCATAGGATGAAAGTGCTTTTGAGTACTCGCCCATGTCATTATACACCCAGCCAAGTTGATAATTGTATTCCGCTCGATCTTCATCAGAAGACGCCTTTGCAAGGAGAATTTGATAGAGTTGTTCGGCTTTTGCAGGTTCGCCCACTCTTTTTAGTATACGACCTAGTCGAGACCATCCTGTGCGCACACCAAGGTCCTTACGTATGTGTGCTGTAAGTGTGTTCAATTCATGATTGTCATTACCCACAATAGTGAGATTAACTTCGTATAGCCTATCAGAGTGATTATCGTGAATTCGTTCAATGCGATCGATACGAAAAATCGCATGTGTTGAAAAGAGTATTTCTTCCTCTTTATCTTTGTAGTACCCAACTTTACTTACTTCAGCAAATGGTGTTGATGATTTTGTACAAATAGCCGTATCAATGTTCATAATAAAGAGGATGCCGACTGAATTAGGATTGTTTGTAGCTGGTAGTGCAAAGTTTTCCAGGGAAATCTTGCGATTGCGACTTGTTGATAAGAAATTATTGAAGGACATAAGTCCTCCTTTGGTTTTTTTCATTTTTTCAAAATCTTCCATGGACAAACCTTGTCCACGGAAGACTTGAAAATTTGTTGGCATGTTCCCTTGTTGTTCACGATGTAATTCGGTAATATGTTGATGTAAATGACGTATGAAAAAGCCCATTTTCAGGATAATATCGACATCCATTTCTCGGAGCCCACGATTGAGCATTGAGTACATGAAATAAGGAGCCGTATACCACCAAATTGATGTATGATTTCGGTATTCTCGCTGCACTTTTTTTATTTCATCTTCATCAACATCATCTTGAAGACGACAGTACTCTACGAGATCTTTAATTGATTTGACATCGTCATCTTCAATTTCCAAAAGTGCTTCTTTTAATAATTGCGTATACATAAATAAGGCATCACGACCATTAAAGCTGATCGAGATCATTGCTCGATCACAATTTTCGCGATCGATTTGCAAGGCCTTACAGATCGGTTTGATTTTTGTGTATACACCTTTAACCTTTGGTACTTTATTGGCCCATTGTTCATGAGCTGCTTGGTTGCGACAGAATACATAGACTGACTCCAGTTGTGGCCATGCTTCAATATCTGCTATTATTTGCCGTCCCAGTGAACCAGATACGATCATAAATACCTTTTGATTTGTAACGGCACTGAGAAAATCAATGCATTCTTGAGCATCTTTAAATGTTTCGATGCTTGCTACAACACGTCGCAGGCGTCGAAACGATTTCTTGAAATCGTCATTGGACTCATCCAATTTGGCATCAAGCCATAGAAGCCGGAAATTTTGAAGAACCCGACGCCTAGGTCGAGGTAGCACAGCAGCAGCACGATTGTTCGCGTTGGTAATAGTGGTGGTGCTAGGCATCGCTGCTGCACCACTGATAACAGTTGTTGTCGACTTTTGTTTGCTCATTGTAATCGAACGAATGAATATAATCTGTGAAACGAAGTCCCCTATATTTATAATTGTTAAATTTTTTGTTGGTTAACATCATTCCTTTTTTGACTTGTGTCTACAGACTTCAAGAACCTCTACTATCTGGTTCATTTTTGTTTCAAGAGTGTTACTGACAAAATACATCGAACCATAAATAAAGAAGAATGGCTAAGGAAACAAATAGTCGCTGAGAACGGACGACATGACTAGTCCGAAATGTCGAAAATACCTGTCTTAACTAGTTATCCTGGCATGAAAACTCCTGCAGCTACGTCTGAACTAGTCCAGAATGTCCTCAAACTTCGACATGTCTAACCCGTTTCTCTATCTAACCTGTCCACATTAGTTCATAGAACGGCAAAAGAGTATTTCTAAAAGTAAAAATTGTGCCTTTCATTACTGGTACTCGCGTTGAAATTTATGCATAGAAACAGTTACTCTGTTTAATATGTTTTACAATAAGATTGTTTTATACATACAAGATTCTGCAAACAAGACAATCGATTGCATGTTCTGAGTATTATCAAGCGAAGTTCTCGTAAAACTACTTTATAAACATAAAAATAACACATGTTTATGTACCGTCATTTTTCTTGTGTGTAGCTACTCTTTACTTTGAACTTTAATTTTTTTACTAGTCTAATAATGTTAGAAACTAAATATACTTACGTGCTATGTAATATTGGAGTGTAGCAAATTTTGTTTTGTGTGCTTGCAATCGATTTTATTCTGTATTTATCATTGACAAAATTACTTGGTTTTTTCCCACAAACGTATATTTACATGAATCAATGAAGCATGACTTTTTCATCATGTAAACGACTTTTTCGACCATGTGTTCGTCATAAAATACGTTTCGTTTTTCATATATTCTACTTCTTCCTTTTTTACCTTACCTTTGCGTTTCGTGTTGTTGCAATGATAAAATATACACTGATACTTGTATAAGCGTAAATTTGAGTTATAATGATTCATTAGACTTTGAACTTTATTCTAATATATATAAGTATTTTCTATCGTAAAATTTTTTTTGAAATTGATAATTATAGAAGTAGTGTTGAAAGCTTCAAAATAAATAAATGAAAAATTTTATATTTTTTATTTTATCGTTCGATGTATGAAAAACTCTATTTATCACTCAAACTTCGTTAGATGCATCCGAAGAAAGTATGGCGAATATGCTTTAAGAAGACTCAGGCATTTTGAGAAGTGGGTGTGAGTGTTTGTATTGCTTATTCCTACACATCCCGATCCTCAATTATTTGGTTTAAATATCTAAGAATTTCAATCATAATCAAGCAATAATCAACAATCAATGAATAGAAGTAAAAAATATTGATACAAATGAATAACATCTTTCAATCAGTATTCAACAAATAATGAATGATTTTAATTTCAATGTAAATCTTTTTTTAGTGTGTTGATGTGGTATGTTATATTTTTTTACAACATAATGATCATAATGTTGTATCAAGTTCATTGGAAACACATGAAATTATACTTAAATATTCAAATTTATTTGATTTTGATCAATTATTAATTTCAACCCCAATTGGATCTATAGAAGAAATTCGTGTCAGTGAAGCCTTAAAAACAGGTAAATATTGAGAAAAAAAACAAGAATGTTTTTTTTTCATTTGTTTTTTTTCTTCTAAAACAATAACTTATTCAGCATATCAACATTGATTTATTGAAATGAATGATGAATTCGATTCAACATCAATGATTAATAATGAAAAATGAATATCAGCTGCTAAACTTGTTAATCAATTACATTTTTTTTTCGATTAGATATATACTTAATATGGATGCTACGATAAAAAGTGATGATGAATCATGTATTAGTGTTAAAAGTGCTATACCAATATGTCTATCGTATTTATAAACAATTTGATCCATTTGTTTATCTTACTAAAAGTATGTTTAATTCTTGTTTGACTTTTTTTTATAATCCAAAATTATTTCTAATGTCGTAACAGTAGGAGGGCCTAGGTGAAGGGGATTGTGACAGAGTGTAGTTGACGTGGCTTCAATTGGTTAAGGTCTCAAAGTTTTAGTGAAAGTTATCTGATAGATATGACAATTTCTCTATTAAATTGTTGAAACATATATATATATTGGAATCTGAAAATTCAAGAACGGAGATTTCTGAATATTGATTCAGCAACTCTAGTCCTATTCCTACTTTTAATTTTTTTGAAACCAACAAAAGACTAGAACATTTTATTGAAGCTCAAAGCCTGCATTTATACATCAGAGATTGAAATCATACAATCACACCATTACTTCAAAAAATAGTTCTAAGCCGAAGTTCGAGATATGAAATCAATTGTATCCTCTAAGGAGTTTTTCTTTAGTCTTTGAAGATTTCTGATTAAATATAGTTTTGTAATTGATATGAAATTTCCTAATGAGAAAAATAAAATTCCCATCTCTATATGACTTGAAATACATTAAAATTTATCGAACATCAAGGCATCTTTTTTTTTCCTTTCTTTAAGATATTACATATCTTTTATCTTTATGTGAACATGGTGATCTACATTTACGTGGTGCATGTGCAAGTTTACTTGCTACATTAATTCAAACAACAATTCATCTTTTATTAAACAATGTTCACTTGTATCAACTGATTCACAAGACAGTTCAAGGTTATATGTCTTAATGATAATAATGCACGTGTTATACATGTTTCATTAAATGCTTTACGAACATTATTACCTTTTTTTATTATTAATAGGCATGCATTTACAATCATAGGAATTGAATTATTAGAAAATTCTATTCAACATACTACAAGTTCCTGTATTCTTGCTAAAGTAGATAAAAGAAATTTATGATTATAATAATTCTTTTTTTGTATGTATATAAAATAGTTTGCTCTAGCTCAACTTATGGATGATATTGATTTTCGAATATTAACTTATCTTGAACAACAATTAAAACAACAGTACCCTGATATACGTGTTCGTCAAGCAATTGCTTCGACTTTTGTTAAGTATGTATTTTGTAGAGATAATAACTACGTAGCTTTTTTCGAATTTGGATAAGTCGATTTTATTACATTAAGTTAGTTATTAGCTACTTTTTGATTTTAAGGTTTTGTTGATCACAATTTATTTTTACCATGTCAATGGATATATAAAATTCATCATTCATTACAAGCTCAAGCATCAACTCGAATACAAATTGTTTGTCATGTTTGTCTTTTATATAGGTTGGATGTTTAAAAGATATTTATGTTCTTTCAAATGTTTTAAGACCAACAACAATTCGACCAATTTTTTCATAATCAATATGATGAACTTCGTTTATTTATAAATTTTTTTTAAACATCCCTTTATATTACATGATCTTAATAATTTAATCTTTTCAAGTAAAGAGAAAAAAAAAGATATTTATTATGTTTTTTTTTTTGAATTCTTTCTTTTTATTTGAAGATTTATCAAATCTCAACAAATGAACTATTCTATTACCATTCTCGAATTATTGCAAAAATATGCACAATCATCATTCTTTTGAACAGAATATAGTTGATATTTCAGTTTTCACAGAAGAAGAGAGTTCCAAAGTGTTAGATTTGAAGAATATATTTGATCATGTTTCGTCTGAATGAATTCATTTGTTTTTTTCTTTTTAAATAGAATGAAAAAGATTCATCAACAATATCAAACACAGACAAAGATAAGAAAGTTAATCATACACAGTTAGGTACTTTTGGAAATTATTCGAATTAATATGTTCATCATATCAAATACATAAAAGTTTATTAAACTCATCAGAAATGATTATTATTGTCTATGAAATCAGTTCTAGGTCTTATTTCTACACAAGATTTATCAAAAAAATTTGGAAGAGAAACACTTAATTATTTTAAATCAACATTCAATACACACAAGATGTAACTTCTTTTAAATAGTAAATATTTATTGTAAAGAAAATTTCAATTATTAATCTTTTTTATTCATCGGGTTAAGCTAAAACCTTTAGGATGTTGTATTGTGTCTGAAACTTGTCTATGGATAAAACTTTCGATGGAAATCTTATAATGAAGGTTTCTGGAAGGGTCTTTCTTAGAGAAGGAAAATTGCAATATAAGAATGTCATAGTAACAGAAAAACTGATTTTACGAATATCGATGATCTTAACGAGAGTAGTTTTGTTGTGAGTGTCAGATCTTTTGATTCGGTTCTATCTTGAAATTCGAATATTAAATCATCTAGTTTACGTCAGTGATCTGCAAGACACGCTATCAATTCGAAATTTGAAAATCATTTTTTTCTGTTAACACAACATTCGTTTAAAAATATTCTTTTAATTTAGTTTTTATTAAATCTTCAAATGTTTCTTCACAAGTATTATTAAATAATTCTTTAACTTATATTCATACGATAAGTATTCGACAATCGATAATTTATTTTATTTGGTTCATGTTATGCATCAAGTATAAATAGTGCAATACGACAGTAAAATAAACAAAAAAATGAATTTGATCTATTCTGTTGTTTTTGTTTTCTATTTTAGTTTTTATTGAACTATAAAATTAGTCTTAAAAAATATATTAATAGAAGTGAAAGTGATTTTCAAGCTGCTGTACTCAATTTACTTGTTCAATTACTTTTAATTCGTGTTAATTATAGTTAATTAGAAGCTGATGAAATTCGTTGCATTTCTAATCGTTTCGTTTATTTTTAAATAGCATTTTATTTATTGTATTGCTGAATTTCTTGTTATGTTCTCACATGATACACTTCATTCAAAACAAGTTATTAAAATACAAGATTTAATAAAACATTATGATTCATTATTAGCAAGTGGACATGAACCTGAAACACATAGTCGGAAGCAAAAAAAAACATTTTCGAGAAAAAGAAATTATCGTTAAAATTCTTTATTTAGCTTTGGCAGCATTAGAACCAGTTTTATATGATTTTTTTTCTTGTTCGAGTTATGCGAATAATTAAAATTCCTAAAAAGTTTTATTAAATGAGAGTGAAGAAAAGGTGTCCTTCTATAAAGTCTCAAATATCTTAGAAACTCGAGAGGGTGTGAGTGTGGGTGTGTAGATGTCATTTTTCTCCTTGGTTGAACCCACATCCACACTTCAACGAATTGATGATCTGAAAATAATCATCTTGTTGTTATGTATTTGAGTTTGAAGGAAAACTAGGCGTCTTAATTAATTATTATAAATAAAAGTATCTTTTCATGTCATGTGTATGTACTGAAAAAATAATTATAGAATTTATATTGTTATAGGCTTTACGATTGTTCACAGTTATTGTTAATAGTGTTCAAATTGAAGATGATAAATGGGAACGTCTTTCACGACAAATTGTCGATTTACTTCTTGCTCATTTACCATCTCAGGTTATTTTTTTGTTCAAATAGAATCAATCACTTTTGGATATTTATTCCACACAATTAACACTATTTGATGTTGCTTTTCGAGCGTTAGTAAATAGAAATGTCCGTTGTTTTTATTTATAAAATTTTTCTGTAGTTTAAATTTTTTTTTAGAATGTCAATTGTCAATCTACAAATCGATAGTTAATCAATATAAATATAATACTTCGATGTCTTGTACAAAATTTAACTGAAGATGCTATATTAACACGATAGAATGATGTTTTATTATCAGTTAATGGAACATGAGATGAAATTTATTGTGCGTAAGTATTCGAAATGATTTTATTTATAATTTAAAAACTATTATTCTCGTTTTTGTTTTCAGAACTCTTCTTCATGTTTTACATGACGTAATATTACGAATTTTAACTAATACTTGACAATTATGTGGTCAAATCAATATGATATTAGTTTCTCTTGCATCCGATTATCTTTATGTACATATCACCCATTAATTTGAAGATAAAACTTTCCTGCAATTCATTAATTACTAATGAGCTAGCAAAATACATTTGACTTTAAAATTCCTATGCTAATATAAGATCTATGATTTTATTTTAGTTAAACAATTTCAAACAATTGTAAATGATTTTCATCAATTATGAATTCATGATGAAACTCTACATCATCTTGATACATTTTCATATTTAACTATTTTAAATGAATGTTTTAAATTATAATGATCGTCATTTTATATCTCATTATTATTACAATGGACACATATTCTGAATATACTTGATTATATACAAGAAGCATGGTGGTCACCAATATTAACACCATCATCATTAATAACACATTTATCTATAAGTAGTCAATTACAATCTTATTGTGATTTAATATATCATCATGAATTATATGTTGAACATTTTATATCAATAACAACACATTATCAATTATTATTATTATTTTTTATTTGATCTTATACATCATACATCAGTTGCAAGTCATTAATTTTTTTGTGAAAGAATACATTTAGATGAAAGTGGTCTTCTATTAGTTTTATTAGTTGAACAATTTCTTCCATTATCATTAAATAAACAATTATTACTTGAATATTTACCATTAATTTTATAAATATTATCAATAACAACATCAATTGATATTATGAAAGAAGATTTTAATAATCTTAATTGTCCTGTGGATATAACAAGAAAAATTTATGAACAAAAGCTTAAAAATATAACTTATAAAAACAGGATTACCATTTATGATATCACTGGTATATTTTAGTTTAATTTATCGAAATAAATAAATATATATGTATAATAAAAATTTTAATCCAATTAAAAGAAATTTTTGTTTTTTACTTTGACATTATTTATGTGCTAGTAATAGATGAGACTTTTGAATAATTCAAAACTTTGAAAAATATTTTGAAATAGAAAATATGCAGAATTTTAGGTAATACAAATCGTAAAGGAAAGCATTTAAGCTACATTAGTACAATGATCGAATAATTCATCTCGAATCTTATTGATTAAATTCTCAGTCGTGCTATTTGTACTATTACAATTAAAGAAAACGACGTCTTTCTAATATTATATTTCGAAATAAATTGCATTCGAGAATTTCGATAAACTCTCTATAAGTTTGAACTCGTGAACTCTGAAAACGTATTGGATTTTTTCCACACCATTAAATTTTTAGGATGATTCTTATAGTAAATGAAAATTGATTTGAGAAAATACGAAACAATATAAATCTGTTCTTTTTTTGTTTTCCTAGGATTTTGTATAGTTATATCAAATGAAACAAATTAAAATGACATTGAAACAACACCTAATACAATTTATGAAAAAAGTCTTTTATCATGCTTCTAATAATCAACCATATTCAATTGCATTCATAGATTCTATATCAATATATTTTGATAAAATACAAAATTATGTTGAATTAACATGTCAATTTTCAACAGGTGATATACATGATTTATTACGTTTTATAATATTTATATCAGAAATAATTTATATAAATATATTTCAAAAAAAAACATCATTTCTTAGTTGTGAAACAGATCAAATAATATCATGTTGTACATTATCGAAAACACTATTATCAATATTTGAATATATTTATCAATGACATGGTTTAACTATATCAAATATATTATAATCATATTTAAATTTAATTGAACCATATAAAAGATCATCTTTATTATTTAACAAAAAAATTAAATATATATATATATAGTCTATATCATATATTTATTGACATGATTTATATTGTATAGTTATATTATTATTTTGTTTACCAATATTTATATAAAGACAATTTTGGAGTTGGTTGATTATTAAGAATACAATTTCAAGAAATATAAGCTTCATTTTTAGCTTCAATTAATTCACCACAAATCAATCTAATGATGAAAATAAACAAACAACAAATAATTGTAAAAAAAAAGAAGAAACTTTAGAAACAAATGCAACACAATGGTAACAAGATTGAAAAATAAACTTGATTTTATCTGTTCTTTTTTTATCAATATTAGATACAAGTTCAAATAATTTATTTACAAATATTGAACGGTTAGGTACACGTGATTTATTATCCTATGGCCAATTTTCATATGATATTATATTAACATCAATCCAAAATAATAATACATTACCATTATCAATTAATGTAAGTCTCACATATGTTTTAATAATCGACAAATAGAACTCTAAGTTAAAAGAAAGATAAATTCATTGCTAAATTATTCATTTCAACAAACAGAAAATCTAGTGTTTCTCTGACTTTGATTTGATATATAATACATGCAAACTATCTTATTTCATAGAGATAAAAGCTTATATCAATAATTTCAAATATATTCTATCAATCAAAAAATTAGATTATGAACATTTTCTTTTCTGGCATCCATCTTTAAAAATATATAATTTAGAGTTTATTTGATTGTTTATTTTTTCATCATGGTTTTGATTTAACATTATCATTACAAATTCTAATTGAAATATATGTAATATAAATTAATAGGTTCAATTATATATCTATCTGATTTATTTGTACATGGTTTGATGAAGATGATTTAATAATATCCTTAATAAGTTATAATTTATGTAAATCTAGTATATTACTTGAACAAAGAACTAAAGAATATAATGAATTATATATAAATTTAATTGAACGTAATTATAAATTAATAACTAAAACTCATGCATATACATTATGTTTATTTTTACTTGAAAGTCATGAAGTTGATTTAAATTCATATGATATTTTGTTATCATTAATTAAAGATGATAATTTAACACAAAAAGTTATATCAATTAGTCTTGAAAAACTTGTAATAGTTGGTCAATATCCCAAAAATGATATATGGTGTTAATACTTTCACGCATTTATACATTATTACAACGACCAAATAAAAATACAAATTCATTAAATAATGAACATGTTAATAAAGAACAAACAATAATTGCTAGTTCATCAATAATATCATCATCAGATAATATTCTTATTGAACTTGTTGAAGAATTATATACACGTACAAAACAATCATCAATATTACCATACGAAGCTTTACTTTTATTACGTCCTTTATCATTATTACTTGCATACATTAGTTTTTTTTTCGTGCTTTAATTAATGCACGTTATTCAGCTAAAGTTAATGAATGGACTTTATTATCAATGACAAATATTGCACAAAGAAAAATCACTATGTATGGCTATATGGGGATTAACTTGTCTTATGTTAAGTGCATGTCTATCACAGGGTGTGGGTGTGGATGAAGACAAGACCTATAATGATATCCACACCCACACCATCTTATGAGTAAAATTCTGCCTATGGTTAAATATTCTTCCTAGTTTTCTTTTTAAAAATTATCAAGACTTACACATACAACTAAAATTTATTTGGAAAAGATAAATAGTAAAACATTAATGAAAAACAAAAACTCTTTATTTCAATCCGAAGGAATGACGATCAATACAAAATCAATAAATTTCGCCATGAAATGTCAAAATGAATTTTCATTGATAATATAGTATATCTTTTACTTTTTTAGGTTTTTATTGATGTTATCACATTTCAGTGTTCGTTTTGAAGAATCAGACAATCGTTTATTTCTTATTGCTGATCGAAAATAGTATCTGCAGGTATATTAAAAGAAAACTTGCAAATATCAATTGTATCAACAAAAAACAAAAAATCTATTTTATTTATTTTAGTTAACGAATATTGAACAGTGACGTCAATTTCAACAAGCATTCATACATGAATCGAATCTAGAAAAATTATATGCTGATTTACTTGCGCAATTCAAAATACGGTGTGAATGTAGATGTTGTTTGGATATGTTGATGAATCATATACTCTCTCTCTCTCTCTGTCATTCATACCCACACCTTCAATAAAGACTAAAAATATCGATTCATAAAATGGAAACATAACAACAAGATTACTTTTTTTCTTTTTACTAGAATCGGTCTCTATTATAACAATCATATCTAAATTTTCTAAACCAATCAGAATAGATTGTCATTTATTTTGTGCTCTAATTTCTGTTTGGCTTATTGATTTATGTTTCATATCGTATGTTTTATTATGATTTCAATCATTGATTTAACTAGTAAATAAGTCGATTACATGTATCCATTAAACATATTTTAACCATTGAAGTTTTAACGAAAACTGTTTCTAAGCCATGTCGTTAGAGTTTAAGAAAAAGTTGCACAACATCTGGATTAAAACTTGCATTTATAACTAGTACTTTTAATAATATCAAGAAGAATGTGAGTATAAATGTTGATATTCTGTTTAACCACATCTACACTCTTTGAATCGTTTTGGTTTAGTAGATTATATGTAAAAAGCAGCTACCATACTTCATCCTATTGAACTGTTTTCTGAAAATCCATTGAAAATGATAAATTCAAAAAATCTCGCACTACGCAATTGTTTCTCTTTATTCAAATAACAATTCTTTTTTCTTGATTTATTATTCGTATTTTTTATTATATTGTTATCAATACAAAAAAATTTCATAATAAAGAAAAAAATTGAATATTTTAATGTAAAAAGCAATTCATCATGGACACTATTTAACGATAACTATCAGAAAAGGAATCAAACCAACTTCCACAGGTTCGAGTTCAGTTCGATGCCTGACAAGCGCGGTATTATCCTGTAAAATTATTTTAGATTGTAAAGGGTGTGGGTGTGGGTGTGGGTGTGGAGTGGGGGTGGGGGTGGGGGTGGGGGTGTGGGTGTGGGTGTGAGTGTGGGCATTAATAAAGAAAACACCCACACCCACATTCACATTCACATCCCACATTCACATTCACATCCACACTCCAGAGCCACATCCACACCCCCCACCCACATTCACACCCCATACTCACACCGATCTACACCCAAACCCTCAAGTTGTTTTAATAAAGTGTGCTTGTTCATTTCCTTAGACTTTAATCAAGTTCAAATCATATATGTCAAACTTGAGACTTGAATTCAATTGAAATTTCAAGTTTCAGCTTTCAAACCGACAGCACTCTGAAGAATCATGACTCACATATTTACACACACATCATCGCAGCCGGGTACGGGTGCAGCGAAAGGAGTTTCATCAGTGTCGACTGAGACACATTCACACACACATATCATCGCAGGGGTGCTGTCGGTTTAAACTTGAAATTTCAATTGAATTCAAGTTTCAAGTTTGACACTATTGGTTCAAATCCGGAATAAATAAATAATATATTAAAAGAATTACAACATAATATAATCATTCAGTTCTATTTATAAGTAATTAAGTATTCAGCATAAGCTTGAGCATCATGATAAGTGACAAAAATATGATTGCCATCAGTAGTTGAATCGAATCCAGCGGGGCAAGTCTTCATTGAACTGTTACCTATAGTTGTATTTCCAACTAGAACTCGCGCCAAGAACATACTTCGCTCTCCGTTGACGTTTGGTTTTGTATAATTGTGACTATAAGCTGCATTTGATGAAAAATAAACACCAACACCATATAGTGTTCCTAAAGATAAATTGCTATCAATACAAAAATGGGCCAAATGGGACATAAATTTACCATTCTCTCCTGCAAAACTCCGATTGAAACAACCTTTCACGATTTCTTTAGCTGCCTCTTCAGGACAACCGTGATATAAACATTTTTCAGTATCTTTATCGAGACTTATTTTGAAATTTCGACTATGTGCTAAATATTGAATATACCATCGTTCATTTTGAATGCGTTCTATTCGTATTATTTTTGTATATTTTCCTTTCATAGGCCGATTGAAATTAGTTACGATTGATTTATATTCATCTGCTGTATTCGATAACTCAAAACGTATTTTATTTTTTCTTGATTTATCCCATGTTGTAGGCACCTGATAATGAAACGATCCCCGAATATCTGCTAAAATTAAAAATATTAAATTTTCATTTGTCGTTATCCTAGCTAAGGAAAATGTAAATCTTTTCATGATGTGTTTTTAATATCTAGCTGATCTACTCCTTGATATCAACTAATTAGGACATAACTAATCATGTTGTTTTCCTTCTTCAAAACAGCTGGTATACTAAGAGTCATTCTAAGCAATAGTTTTTATCCAACAAACAGAGAAGAAATTGGTTTCGGCTTGTTTGGACTCGAACCTGACCGAAAAAGTTTTGAACTCAGTCAGTCTTTAAAAGTTGATAATTTACTCAGTCTATACTGAAAGGTTGAATTTAACTAAAAAAGAAAAGTTTAATTATACCATCTTGTGTTGCTAATACTTGTTTACAAAATTCGTCATAAATATTTTGTTGACTAGACTGTATCACGAATCTCACTGTCAGAGGTAGATTTCTCATAGTCAATTGGTTTTTCATTTCTTTCACCATTGTCTTGACTACAACATCTACAGAACACCCGTGTTGCCCACATCCAAGAGCTGGAAATGCAAACGACGTGAAGTTATATGATATCACATTTTGTATAACAGTCCAAATCAGATCAACAAGCGATTGTTGAAGTATTGTCTCATTTTTATCAGGTTGCCATTTAACAAAAAAGATTCGTTTGCAAGATAAGGCACCTGGTGGTGTCGAAATTAATATAGCATTTGGATTGTTCTTGTTTTCGGTATTGTATGAAGTCTGAACTTCATCGCCAGCTACCTTTATAATTGCTTTTTTTAAAATTTCCGATGATGAGCTTCCAATTATAACATCTACCTATCAAATAAAAAGATTGTACAGTTATTTTAATATGGAAGGAAATTTCTATGCATACTCTTTCTGCTGTTATATCACCTGTCACAACTTGAATTATTCCTTTATTAACAGTTGCAGCTATTGCTTTTACTGGTCCTTCTAGTGGAGGCGATGACCAGCGTTTTCGGGCTGAGGATCGGGATTGTCGTTGTGCTGAGAGCGAGCGTTCTCGTAGCAATGAAGGCGAGCGTTTTTGTGATGAAGATCGAGGTCGCCGTTGTGCTGAGAGCGAGCGTTCTCGTAGCAATGGAGACGAACGTTTTCTTGATGAGGATCGAGGTCGTCGTTGTACC